CTCCCTGCTGGGACAGCCACGGGGCTCCTCAGGGCTGTCCCTCCTTCCTCAGCGGAGGCAAGAGGAGCGACGACGGCGCCGAAGGGCTCAGCAGCAGGAGCTGCTCCTGGCAGAGAGCCTGGGCAAGCACCCCCTGCAGAACAGGTATGGGGGGCCTGGCTGTTGGCAGTCTTCCCCAGCACTGGGAGGGGGGTGCTGGGGCTGGGTGGGGGGGTCCAGCATGGCTGACACCCCCTCTCCATCTCACCTCCCTCCCCAGGTGGGCACTGTGGTTCTTCAAGAATGACAAGAGCAAAATGTGGCAGGCGAACCTGCGCCTCGTCACCAAGTTCAGCACTGTGGAGGACTTCTGGGCGTGAGTGTCCCATGGGTGGGCAATGTGGCCCCTCTGGAGAGGTCCCTCTGGGGGTGTCTGGGCCAGAGGAGGGTGCTGGGGAGCCCTGAGGCACCTCTTCTCACCTACTTCTGTGTCTTTTCTCCACCCGGCGCAGGCTGTACAGCCACATCCAGCTCGCCAGCAAGCTCACATCTGGCTGTGACTACTCCCTCTTCAAGGTGCGACGCCCGCCCCACCACAGTCTCTCCTCAGAGTCCCCAGAATTATGGGGTCACACTGAGTGCCGGTGGGGCTGGCAGGCCACCCTGGCCATGGGGCAGGAGGAGAAGCCTGACTGGGGGCTCACAGCTCCCTGATCTGGCTCTGCCTGGGTGCTTGGTGCCCCCTGACCGTCCCTTTGCCCGTCCCCAGGATGGCATCGAGCCCATGTGGGAGGACAACCAGAACAAGCGTGGTGGGCGCTGGCTCATCACCCTGGCCAAGCAGCAGCGGCACACCGAGCTGGACCGTTTCTGGCTGGAGACGGTGAGTGTGGCCCCTCTTGGGCTGGCCTGCAGGGTTCTGGCAGCAATGTCACCCCCTGCCACAGAGCTGAGCCCCAGTGGGGACCATCCCTGGCTCCCCTTTTCCCGGCAGCTGCTCTGCCTCATCGGGGAGATGTTTGATGACTACAGCGACGAGGTGTGCGGGGCCGTCATCAACATCCGCGCCAAGGGGGACAAGATTGCCATCTGGACCCGGGAAGCAGAGAACCGGGAAGGAGTCACCCACATCGGGTAATGCAGCTTCCTGGGGGGGAGGGGAGTAGGTCTGGGGAGAATGGGGTCCCTGGGCAGGGAGCTGGTGGGAGAAGAGGTGCTGCCCTATTCATCCAGCCCCTTCCCTCCTCCAGGCGTGTCTACAAGGAGCACCTGGGCCTGTCGCAGAAGGTGGCCATTGGGTACCAGGCCCACGCAGACACGGCCACCAAGAGCGGCTCCCTCACCAAGACCAAGTTTGTGGTGTGACTGTGGGGGGGAGTGGGGCACTGCCTGTTGGGACCCCCTGTCCTATCCCATAATGAATGGCTGCAGCTGAGTGTGGTCTGTGTGTCCAGGCCTTTGGTGGGGTCTCTCGGGAGGGGGGATGCTGTGTTGCCATATACTGTTCCTGCCCACTGGGTGAGCGGGGCTGGGAGCAGAGCTGGCACTGCTGTGGGCTTGGGGTACTGCGTATGTCTCCCTACCTCCCCCAATGCCCCTCTCCCTGGGGCTGCAGGGGTGTCCCTCTGCTCTGGGGGACCCCAGATATTACCCAGGAGGGGCTCTGTCCTTCCCTGGCCAAGGGATGGGCACAGCTTGCTGCCCTGCAGACCTAGGTGTGGGTAGGGATACCAGACCCCAGCTCGTAGGGGTTGGCTCAGTCTGAGGAGCTGGTCCCCATCTCTCCCAGGTCTCTGCACATCGGTGGGACGCAGGTCTGCTTTCTCGGGAAGACCAACTTCCCAGCCAAAGGCTGCCCAGTGCTCCCACAGCACCGATGCTGGGGCTGCAGCACGGTGTCATCCCCACGCTGCCCACCTCGGGCTGGGTTTGCTCCATCCCCTCCTGCAGGCACCTGCAGCACAGCTGGTATGAAGCTTTTCTGCTTCCCAAGGGTTTATTGGTGCCAGTAACCTGGAGGTTCACAGCCTGAGCCTCTTGAGCCCTGGGAGTTTGCTTGCTCCTCCTTTCCATGGCCCATGTCCTCTGCTGGCCCTTCTGGCCCTGGCTGCAGAGGGAATCCCTTGCTTCTGTCCCCCTGCTCCAGCCCAGCCCATGCTCTCTGCCTTTTTATCTTCAATTTGTGTGTTTGGTGGTTGGGTCTGTCCTTTCCCTATTCAGGTTCTTGAGGTGGAGCTGCCTGCGCTTCTGGCCTCGCTGCAGCCCTCCTCCAGGAGGAGCCTCCTCCAGGAGCTCCTGGGTGGCTCTGGATCAGCCCAGGGTTGCACTCCATCCAGGGTAGCACATCCAGCTGCCCCAGAGCTGGGGCCACCTGTCCCCCACTGCTGCGTGGTGCCTGTGCTGGCTCAGAGCTGCCCTGCTTTCACCCAGGGTTTGCAAAGAGCTGGTCCCACAGAAGGACAGAGTCTTGACACTGGCTGGGCCAGAGAGAATCATAGAATCATCTAGATTGGAAGGGACCTTCAAGATCATCTAGTACAACCATCAACCTAACTCTGACCAAAAAAAACCATCACTAAACCATGTCCCCCAGCACCATGTCAACCCATCTTTTGAACACCTCCAGGGATGGTGCCTTAACCACTTCCCTGCGCAGCCCATTCCAACACTTGATAAGCATTTTAGTGGAAAATATCTTTCCTAATATCCAGCCTGAACCTCCCCTGGTGCAGCTTGAGGCTGTTTCCTCTGGTCCTGTCGCCTGTGACTTGGGAGAAGAGACTGACCCCCACCTCCCTACACCCTCCTTTCAGGGAGTTGTAGAGATCAATAAGGTCTCCCCTCAGCCTCCTCTTCTCCAGGCTGAACACCCCCAGCTCCCTCAGCCTCTCCTCACAAGACTTGTGCTCCAGACCCCTTACCAGCTCCGTTGCCCTTCTCTGGACCCGCTCCAGCACCTCAATGTCTTTTTTTGTGGTAAGGGGCCCAAAACTGGACACAGCCCTCAAGGTGGGGCCTCACCAGTGCCAAGTACAGGGGGATGATCACCTCTCGGGTCCTACTCACCACACTGTTCCTCATACAGGCCAGGATACCATTGGCCTTCTTGGCCACCTGGGCACACTTCTGGCTCATGTTCAGCTGACAGTTGACTAACACCCCCAGGTCCTTTTCTGCCAGGCAGCTCCAGACACTCTGCCCTGAGCCTGGGTTTGTTGTGACCCAAGTGCAGGACCCAGAACTTGGCCTCATCGAACCTCATCCCGCTGGTCTCAGCCCATCCAGATCCCTCTGCAAAGCCTTTCTACCCTCCAGCAGGTTGACACTCCCACCCAACTTGGTGTCATCTGTGAACTTACTGAGGGTTGCCAGAGAGGGGTGGTGGTGGTGGTGCCAGTTTGTCCCTGGCACGCAGTGTGCCAGGCCACATCCCTGTGTCCCTTCGAGCCTTCATCTAAGGGTTCTCAGCCATTGGAATGGGCTGCCCAGGGAGGTGGTTGAGGCACCATGCCTGGAGGTGTTCAAAAGACGGGTTGATGAAATGCTGGGAGGTATGGTTTAGTGATGATGCTCCTTGTTTGTTGTGTGGGTGTCTATTTTTGCCAGTTAGGTTGACGGTTGGACAAGATGATCTTTAAGGTCCCTTCCAACCTAGAAGATTCTGTGATCCATGCTGGCCCTGGGCTGCTTCCCTGAGCAGGGAGAAGGGGGACAGGACCCTCCTCCCTCCCTTGTAGGGCAACTGGGGCTGGGATGCTGTGGGCCATATTGGCCCCATGGCTAACGGCAGGAATGGGGGGGCGGCAGTATGGGGGTGTTACCCCCCAAACCTGGGCTACCTGGGGAGGGGACCCCCGGGCACAGGGTCTGCCTGTCCCGGCGGGGGCTGGAGCTGCACCCCCCGTTCCCTGCCCGCGTTCCCGCTGCCGCCTGCACCGCCGGTCGCTCGCCACGCGATGGCGCCGCTCGCCCGGGCTTGGCCAGCTCCGGCTCGGGAGGGCTGGCAGCCCGCGATGGGGGTCCCTCGCCCGGCCCTGGCTGCTATGGGGCAGAGCTGCCCCCCCCCCCCCCCTTCTCACCCCGGGAGCCACGCGTGGGGCGCGGGTTGTGGGGCTGGTAGACGTGAAGCTGGTGTGTGTGTGTCGGGGGGGTGCTGAGACCCCCCCTCCAATGCACCGTTAGTGGCAGCACGAAGTGGGTGAGGACCAGGAGTTGCCTGTCCCCCTGCCTGGCATGGTCGCCCCTCGTAGCCTCCTGGCTCTGGGGCTAAGACACCCCCCCCTTCCCATGCCACGCTGTCCCTGTCCCCTCGTCCCCACAGTGGGTGCAGCAAGGGGGGCTGGTGCTCGTGGGGTGCTCTGCCGTGCTGGGGGGCCAAGGTTACCTGGCGTGGGGGGGGGGTTGGTGGCAGAAGCTGCTGCGCTCTGCCCTGGTTCATTGCCATTCGCGTGCAGCCACGGTGGGATTTCATTTGATTGGAAAAGTAATAGGGGCCATTTATCTCCACGGCTTTATGGGCTCCTGGCAGCCCGGTCAGGCCAGGGGCGGGGGGGCTGGCTGTGCCCACCTGGAACCCACCCTTGGGGATGCCCTCCACGCGATGGCCTCCATCCTCAGCTCCTGCACTCTGGGATCCCTGTTTCCCCAGGGGACACAAGGGTGCTGAGAGGTGGGGGGCACTTGGAGACCCTTCTGGGTGGGTGCAGGGGTAGCCAGGAGCCACCCAGTGAGTGCGGCAGTGCCAGGACTGCCCCCAGCCTGTCTCATGCCGGGCAGCTGTCCCAGCTGGCAGCCAAGCTGGCAGCCCTGTCAATAATCATAATTAAAAATTAATACTAATCAAAAGGGAGAGGCAGATGGCAGCAGACATGCGGCAGGGATGCAGGTGGGGGCGGGGGGCACTGTAGCCAGGGGGGCTGGCGAGGACAGGGATAGGGGGGGCAGAGGAGCCATGGGGCGCAGTGGGGCAGGAGGACCAGGGTGCAGTGGAACCTGGTGGGG